CAGAAAGAGATCAGACAAGTATTTAGTAGAAACGGGAAAAAAGACGTGAACGAAGCAGACATTGGTGAATTGCACTACCTGGAGCTCGTTTTAAAAGAAACCTTGAGATTGCACACTCCTGATGCTCTGACAATTCCAAGGGAAAGTCAAGAAACGACAGTGATTAATGGATATCGGATCCCTGCCAAGACCAGAGTCATAATTAACGCATGGGCAATTGGTCGAGATCCCGATTACTGGACCGAACCAGAAACTTTCAATCCAGAAAGGTTTCTCAATTCCTCTGTTAGTTACAAGGGACTCGATTTTCAATTAATCCCATTTGGAGCGGGACGGAGAATTTGCCCTGGCATGTATTATGGAGTTGCTATAGTCAAGCTTGTGATTGCAAATTTACTCTATCATTTTGACTGGGAGCTACCAAACGGAATGATGCCCCAAGAGTTGGATATGTCCGAAAGCTTTGGGACGGAAGTAGGAAGGAAAAACGATCTTGTCCTCGTCCCAATTCCATGCCACCCCTAAACCAGCTTAGCTTCCTCTATTCTATATATATATGCAGGGGCGGGGCGGTTTGGTGAAGGAGCACTCCGCGGCAGAAACGATTGCGTCGTATTGTAATCATTAATCTTTGTTTAATTGAATCTGCAACTGTTTGTTGGTGTTTGTTTTTAAAATAAGGGCGATCGTTGGTTAAAAGCTTTGAAAAATCGTGTATATTGAAAAGTCCATCAATTATTATCTGTTATGTTATACCTGCGATCAAGTATAGTTGTCTGATCTCGAATAAATAATAAATATTATTATAAAATATTAATGTATTTATATTTCTAAAATAGTTCCTCTGCAGCAAAGCCAAGCAACAATGATTAATAAGACACCAACCAGACTCATAGTCATAATTGCCTCTATCTAACCGTTGCGAATCACACATTATTAGCATTGGTATATAGTTTAGCATATAAATGTACAAGTAGTGGAATGTAAGCACCATATTGGAATACACAAATCATCCCATAATAGGTATTGTAATAAAGAGCATGTGCTAATAATCAAATTCGGACAAACAACCACCCCCGCCCTAGTAATACTGAGATCCACATAATTAATTTCAGTGCTCCACTGCCTCCACACCACTAATTTTATTTAATAACGTGCTAGTTGCTAGCCATGAAACAGCAGCTGCCGGCCACTGAGTCTATTTATTTAATAATAACACATGTATGCTAATTATGCCATTATCGGGGAGATTAGATGGGATCTCTTACACTCAATAGATATGATTCCCTCTGGAGGGGTTACAGTGCTAATTGTACAATAGTTAACACCGTCCTAATCAAGGGAAAAACTACTACTAATTTGAATTAGTAGTGATTTAGCTTAGATGTTGTATTGATTTTATAATAATCCGTAGTGATTTTTGCTAGTTATCACGGTGCTAACCCCTATAAGGGTTAGCACCTAATCTCATCCCGATTCCCTCCTAAAAAGAAGATCAGAATCCGCTCGGCCGACGATTTGTTTTATATAATAATCAAATCACCATGATAACAATAAACAAACATTCCCCATTAAATATGATTGAGCAAAGGGATATAGATAAAACTTGTCAAGAATGGTCTTCAATGAGCCTGTTGTTTGTATCCCTACTATTGGTGTATTATCATCTTTTACCACTAGTTACCACCCTCTATTAGGATGGTACAAAGTAGTATACTTGTTTCTAAAATTTCTTCTCTTGGAAATTTATAGATAATAGTAGAAAATTTCTTCTCTTGAGTAAACGGAGACAGTACATAGTCGTACTAGATAGTACCAAGACGATAACAAGTGGTAATGTGATGCAAAAAAAAAAAATTGAAATATATTACAATTAAAGTTGATATACAATGAAATATAAGTTGATTAAACAAAGTAATGAAAAGAAAAACTATTTTAATCTCAATTATTAGATCTGCCTCCACTCACTGAGTCTGTAAATTAATGCCCATCACCGTCAGCTAGCACACAACTATATATCATATATTAAATCATTTAGTAATTAATTACATTTCGGCGACAATTACGGGAAGTACTAATTTATGTAATTATTACAAATAACTACCCCCACCATATTCGGATGAGGCTAGTCATCAAAACAGCAGCTGCCATGCACTTATTAGTTAATTTCATAATTATGGAAAAAGATTAGATGGGATCTCTGACACTTTTTAGATCTGGTTTCGGATTTAAAATGTTATTTTTAGCTAATTTTTTTTTAACTTTTTGACGCCAATTTTTAAAGTTTTATTTCTTTTTAAAATTTACTTCCGTAATTGTGTGTTATTTCTTCTTATACATTATGCCACCAAAAAGAAATGTCATGATTCATTCATATGATTTATGTTTTTATTTATGCATGTATAGGTTGAATATGTTTCTTCATAACATCATACCGGGTAATATCCTTGCCAAGTTAGGATTAGGCACTTCTCAAGACCATCTTATTCCCCATAAAGGGGAGGTTTTACACTTTTATGGTTACTAAGAGTAAATTAGGTATGAAAAATAATATTTATTAATTTCTTTTTTGATAAATTACATTTTAGGAAGTTATATAAATATATTAAATACAATTTTCTCTATCTCTTCCTTTCACTTCCACAACCTTCAGCCAGATCTCTCTGGCTTTTTTCTCAATCTTTTCATTGATTTCGTTCACCCGAACTAATATCGCTGTAACAAAAAAAACAATAAATCAATATCAATCCATTAAAAAAATAATATCATTGCACATTACATGATAATCAATACCAATGCGAAAAAACAATACTAATGCGAAAAAGTACTACCACTACGAAAAATATCACTACCATTTCACAAAAATACATACCAATCGTTCTATACTCTTAAAATAACTTAAAGAGCCGCATTCTTTTATCATACGTTAAATCCCCAATCAATCTTCTTCCTTCCAAATCACAATACAAGTATCTTGCCAATATAATCAATAAGTTCAGCAAAAAAAAAGCAAAAAAAAAAAAAAAACCAATAAAACAAAATTAAATAACTTACACACTTCTATTTTCCCCAACGAAGAACTACAGACACAAGATGAAGAAATGTAAAACAAACTCGATTGCTTTGAGTCGGGAGCGTCGGAGAGAGAGTGAGGGGGAGGGATGGTCATTGGTCAGCGCTCTATCTCCACAGTAGCCATCGCCGATTGCTTTGAGGGGGAGGGTTGGAGAGGGAGGGATGGCCGATGCAGGCAGGCGCCCGGAGGGCTGGGGAATATATATAGGCTACTTCAACACACTTACTTTTTTGGATGCACTCAGTACACCTAACTTTAAAAGTGTCCCTAATACAACAAATTTTGAACTTTAATTAGTACTCTCAATCTAATATGATGATATGACATAGATTCATAACAAATCAATCTATTACCCTAACCACTTGGCCTTCAATTTTGAATCCCAACCCAAAATCCCAAATTATAAACCTAAACTCTAACCCTAAATCCCTAAATCCCAAATCTTTCGAATTAAGTAAATTTTGAATGGTTTTATTTCAAATTCATGTGCTTCTTGCTCATAATATCATAAGAAAATATTGATACCATTTTGACATGAATCCAATGCTCAAAATGACTTTTAGAGTTGGGTGTACTGAGTGCACCTAAAAAAGTAAGTGCACCGAATACGCCACCACATGGCTTCTACGGTACCCTCGGTGAAATCCAGGGTACCGTATACCTTGAGTATGAAAACACTATCTAGACATCGAAATAGAAAAAAACTTTGGGCTTGGTACTATACCCTAATCCTTATTGAGTGAACCCTAGGTCCTAATTATCTAAATCATAAACTATAAACCCTAAGACGAAGCATTCATTTTTTTGCCTATATTTGGACGAATCATAGTCGTCGATTATTGTTTCTAATTAAATTGATATTGAAGTATAAGATTTAGGGAGCTAAGACCTAGATTTTGATCTTTAAGGGTTAGAGTATAATATCATGTCCAAAAGATCAATCAATTCAAGGTTTGGATAGCGTTTTCATACTCAAGGTATGCGGTACACCGGATTTCACTCGGGGTACCGTAGAACTCGCCATTATATATATATATATATATATATATATATATATATAGAGAGAGAGAGAGAGAGAGAGAGAGTATGAGGAGGGTCGGAGGGGGAGGTATGGCCGGCACCTGCGGGCGGAAGTCATCGTCGTCGGCGAGGGATGAAAGCTTGTGAGCGCGTTGGGTTTGGCTGGAAGGAGGATAAAAGTAGGATTATGGTAGAATATATTGAATATCAAGTGTGATTTTTTTTCAAAATTACGTTGGAGCAATCTTAATTGTAAGATAAAAAAAAAGATGGTGGATACTAATGTAGCCACAATGACTAGTAAAAATCCAGTTACCATTAAGGTGTACTTAGAAGCACTTCAGTGCATGGCCTTCAAATATTAGAGTGTTCTTAGCTATATATTAAGTGTTGTTATATGAATCCATCATAATTATTTAGTCATGGGCAATTTGACGGAGCAACCTTTGCTAATATTAATCCACGCGAAATGTCAAAAATCGTTGATTGGTGATAATAACTTTGGGCATAAGATAATGGTTTTTTTTTTTCATTAGTTGAATAATTAACCAGCTTACATTTATATTTTAAGCCCATACATAATTTCCAACACAATGATTTGGTGAGGCTTACAGAAATGAGGATTAAAATTCAATGCTGTCAAAGCCGAGCCGAGTCGGCCGGCCGAGCCGCCAAAATCGCCACTGCCATAAAAACGGCTCGACTCAGCTATTTAGCCAGAGTGGTTATTTGGGGCGGTCGGCGAGCGGCCGTAGCCGTTAACCGCTCGAACCGTTCGAGCTGCTCGGCCGGCTTTTTACCATTTGGGCCGGTTGCTTTAATTAAAAATATATATATATATATATAAAATAAAAAATGAAAATGAAAGGGGAGGCTGCTGAAAACGCAACCCTAATTGACTAATTCATTTCTTCCCCCTTCGCGCAGCAGCCAGACACGAAGAAGAGCCTCGCACTCCGCAGTCGCCGTTCACCGTCGCGGGTCCCCGTCGCCGTTTGCCATCGCTCGACGCCATCGGCCGTCGCCATCCCTCGACGCCACTCCCTTGTCGCCTGTCGCCATCGTCGTCAGCGGCGGCGGCAGCTCGTTCCCCATTCCTGTCGGCGAGCGCAACGGCCAGCCGATGAGGTCTCCGTTCTCCCCTGCAGTCACCTTCTCCCACTGCTGCTGCCTCTCCCCTGCATCGACTCTCTGCCTCTCCCCTGTTGCATCGACATTCTGCCTCTCCCCTGTTGCATCGAGCCATCGACTCTCTGCCTCTCCTTGCTGCCCTCCCCTTCAATTTCTCGACGCATACACCCACCTTTGAGAACTTCTTGTGGTAAATTACTAAATTTACATGTGCTTTGACCTTAATTTGATAATTTCATATAAGCATAAAAGAAGTTTGTAATGGTTTGTGTTGCTGCCGTGAACCGTGAGGTTTCCTATTCCATTTAGCAATTTTTGTTTACTTGTTTACTTGATTGAGTTATTTATAAGTTTCATAATGGTAGTGTTAGATTTTCCAGTGTAAATTTGTTGATTTGATCTTTATTTTGGAACAATGTGGTGGTTTGGAATTGAATTTTAGATCTTTCGATATTGATGTTCTAGAATGGTTTAAGAGAGTAATTTACTTGTGGTTTACCATGATTAAGAAGTGTCTACTATTTATACATATGACTGTTTATTAGGTACCGGTTCTCAAACGGTCTAATGCCAGCTGGATCACTAATGACCAAGCCGTTCACGTTACCGGGTCATACTCCGGCTCGGCTTTGACAAAATTTAAATGTTACGGATACTTAACACATGATTGTATTAAATGTAGCCAAAGAGCAAACATTCCTCGATAAAGAGCTTAATTCTTGTCTTACATTATGTGTTGTTAAATAACGAACTGACCACAAATACTTTTTCAATTGATCATACGCGACATGATTCTCTCTCATATGGAAGTTGGAATAGCGAGTAAAGGTTTAGCCTTTTGCAAAGCTATCCCAAACTTCTCTTCCATATCCAGTTTCTCTGGCTCTACTCCATTTGGTAGTTTCCAGTCAAACCAATGAATCAATGAACCCAACATCATATGCAACATTCTTAACGCCAATGGCATGCCAGGACATATCCTTCTTCCTGCGCCAAATGTGACCAGCTCAAAATAATTTCCCTTGGCATCAATATCCGAGCCTAAGAATCTTTCTGGCACGAACGAGGTTGAATCATCCCATATTTTTGGATCCCGACCTATAGCCCATAAATTGAGTAGAACTCTTGCACCTTTGGGCACGGTGAAGCCGTTGATTTCCACATCTGCTCCGGCCTTGCGGGGAAGTAACAAAGGAAGTGCTGGGTGCAGCCTAAAGGTCTCTTTCAGTATTGCTTGCAGATAAGGTAACTGGGGAATGTCTGATTCCGCAAGATGATTACCCTTCCCAATCATTTCGTCTAGTTCGTTTTTAGCTTTCACAAGCGTGTCTGGATTGCGGAGGAGTTCAGCCATCGCCCATTCTAGTGAGCTTGTAGTGGTATCGGTTCCGGCTACGAAGAGATCCTAGTATGTTCAAACCAAGATTGGCGAGCAGGTGAAAATAAAGGAAGAGTACGTTGTTTTTACACTATGAATTGCTTGCTTCCGGTTGATGAATGAAAGTAGTCAAAAGTTACGTTACTCACAAAGAACAGGTGTTTGATGGCAAGTGGATTCATTTGAGCCTCGCGATTGTCGTCATCGTCAATGGCAAGAAGCGTGTCAAGCATGTCGTTTTTGGAGACATAGCTCTCCGACTTCATCTTCAGCAACCGTTCACCGATGACCCATCCAAACAAATCCAAAACCTTCCCTATGTAACCCTTGTTCCGCCTCTGTATCCCCTGCAAATCCAACTTCCCCAAAATGGGGAAGAAGTCTCCCAAATTGGGTTTCCCGGCCTCTTCCATAATCCGCCTCGCGACCTCCTTGAACTCCTTGGCAGTCTCCGACTTCTCCTCGTCTGCCAGATCCATCGAGAGAACAGTGGCCGACAGAGCATTCAAACTGGCCCTGAACGCCACTCTCCCAACATCCACCGCCTCTCCCGGCCTCTCAGAGGCATTTCGTCGAACACCTTCCATCACCTCAATAATCTTCTCCCTCCGGAGGCCCTGGTTCAAATCCAGCTTATGGGTTGCGAAGACGTACGAGTTGCACACTTTCCTGATGTTCCTCCACTTGGAACCTACGGGGAGCAACGGCAGGGCAAACTTGTGGGTGTCGAGGACCTCCATGGCGAGGATCCCATGGCGGTCAGAGAGGACTTTGTCGTGCTTTTGGAGGATCTCCTTGGCGAGAGCCGGGGAAGAAGCGACGATGGTGGTGACTTGGCCCAGTTTGAGGCTCATCAACGGCCCATGAACCTTGGCGAGGTCGGCCAGTGATATGTGAGGCTTGTGGCCCAGATTGTGGAGGTTGCCGATGATTGGCAGCCGGGCGGGGCCTGGGGGGAGTTTGGCCGCCGGAGCTCTTGATAGCAGGAGTCGGAGGATGGCCAGGGTGAAAATGAGGCCGAGAAAGCAGTTTAGGAGGAGGAAGAAGAAATCCATTCTTTTCTCCGGCGGGATTTTTGTTACTTAGCTTGCGCTAGATATCGAGCTGGGAGTTAAGTACGTAGATATATTACAAGTAACGTCACCTATATTAGCTCTTCTGTTGAACTTTCTCTACATGCATGGCGTAGTAGTTACTAGTTAGCCTACAATCCCGTAGTTCAAAATTCAATAGAAAACAATAGAATTAATTGATAAGGCCTTAACCCCCTCTTTCAATTATCACGGTTCTTGTCAACAATCATCATTCAAATTTCTGGCTCCGCCACTAACTAAAACGCTTAAGTGTTGCCTATGCACCTTTAGCTTTAGGCATGCTAGCCGCTAGACAGTAACCCAATACCTTCTTGAACCTCCATTATTTTTATTATCAATACTTAATGAAATGATTAAGAGTAGGAGTAAGCAAGTGGTAGTTAATTACTTAATTCCACAGATCCGCCCAAATCTAGCTAGCTAGGTGATCTGCTTACAGGGACACCACCAAAGGAGGCTACTAGTCATGAAACAGCAGCAGCTGCCAGTCACTGTTGTACGGGTTTTATGTATTTAAATAACATGCAATGCTAATTATATACTCCGTTTAATATATGTATATGTACATGTACGTATTTTATTAGTTTAAAACTTTCGTATTCATATTATTGTCAAGACGTTTCATTTTCCCGTTCATTTGATGGATCCCATACTAAACATGTATAAAATCCGTACAACAAGTTTAATATCCGTATTTAATGAGTTAAATTGCTAGTTTTACATTATTTATATGTTTATTTATTTTTAAAATAATTTATTTTTATATATTTAAGACTATTAACGTAACATTAGCTTAGAGACGAAATAAAATACCCATACATATTTTATACATAATTTTTACGTACTGTATTTTACTAACTATGCTAATTATTATATATAATTTTCCCGTACCATATTTTACTAATTATGTTAATTAATAATTATTAATCATGCCATTATGGGAAATGATTAGATGGGATCTCTCTTACTCGCAAAATATCTGATTCCTTCCTGCCGACGATTTGATTGTGTTATATAATAATGAAATTACTATTTATAACAACATAAAAACATTCCCCCATTAAATGTGGTTGGGCAATGGGATATGATCGGCTTAGGATACTGTAGAGGTTACTGACCAGTAATCAAATCTTAGCCATCAAATTTAAGTGAATCTAGAAAATTCAGATTTAAAGAAGGAGAATTAAATGCATTTTATTTTTCCTTGTTTTTTTAATCGGCTCTTATCTTCTTTGTTCTAACTCGGATTTCAATTTTATTTTTGCACAGATTGAACGTGTGCGTTGTGCTCTACAAAATGAGATCAATTATCAATGTTTCTTTAGAATTTTTTTTCATACCTCTCGTTGCAAATTTAAGTCGTTTTTTAAAATATTTGCTTATAAAGAATGAGTTCATCATGATCTATTTCATCGACAAATTTATGTGTGACAATAATACAGGACAAAAAATTATCATACTTTACCACCCTGGTATGTGGTAACTTGTGGTAAACAATAATGAAAATCGTAAATGACACTTAGTATACTCATACTATCATGTATTCAATCTTCCAACAGTCTCGATATGTTCATACCATCATGGTACGCTTTCTTACCATATGGTATGCTCCTTTTTAATACCATATGGTATTGACTTGTAAAAAATGCCTCAATTTTTTTTGTTCGAAAAATATATCAAAGTTGATATCATTATAAAGAGCGCAATTAATCTGATTTATCTGTGCAAAAAAATTAAATTACGACTTAAAACGAGGAGAAATCGTACGTTAAAGATTAAAGTGGAAAAGATAAAAGGCTTTCCAAGAGAGAGAGGGATGCTGATGTCAGTGATGTGGACGGGTTACTCATGGTTACTGACCTGATCCGCTCCTGATATGATGAGCACAACTAGCCGACCAAGTTTCCTTTCTCCCCCAACATTTTTCTTGTTTTAGGCGATATAAGGAAAGGTTTGGTCGCATCAGGTTGTAGAAGATCAAATCGACGTTTGGATCGGATTATATTGTAACGAAGATCATGTTGGTCATTAATTTTATGAATTTTACAAGACAGAAAAATGTGAATCAAAATGACATTTTGACAAGATCAAACTAGACCCAATGTAATGAATAATGATGGCATGGTCCTTGTTGATATGATTTCTTTTATTATTGAACAACGATTCTCATTGTTTGGGCCTAACCATTATACTCCACTATCTATGTGTACTGTAAACGAGGTTTTGGTTTACGCGACGGCACTGTTAAGTTGGTTTCCACGGGATCGTTTGGATGTTGCGATTGTTAAATATATGTATTGTTGAGAATGCATGTATAATATTATACATGTATTGTCGAATTTGATGCATTGTAGAATACAACGTTTGGTATGTGTGATTGTGTATGTCGCATCAGCTAAAAGCTGAGACAAAACAATCTCAACTCAACAATCTCAACAATCACAACTAAAAGTTGGGATATAACAATCACTCAAAATGAGTGATAGTTTCTGTCACATCATAGAAATAATCCATGTATTGTTTCTGCTAAAAAAAAAAAAAAAAACGATGCATTTGTAAACAATACATGCATAATGACGATCTCAACAAAACAATCGCAACTTCCAAACGACTCCCAAAATGATGATTTCGAACTCCATGATTGGAATTCGGAGCTTTTAGAAAAGTACTTTTTAGTAGTGCTTTTTAATATAAGAGGTTATGTAAAATGACTATAAAATATTTATAATATAAAATATGAATAAAAATTCTAAACAAAAAAGAAGTCAAAATGGATTTTTGTCAAATTTATTTTATATTAAATGATATGATTTTGTTAAATTTATTTTATCTTTAAAATGATTGAAATGAAATAAAATTATTATTTATGGAATAAAATTAAAATATGATAAGAATAATTTGTATTTTCAAAACAGTTTTTCGCAGAAGTTCTAAATAAGAGTTTCTCCTTATATATTACACAAAAACACTTTGTGGCTTTTAAAAAGTATTTGGTCCTGCTCCAACTTTTAAAATCGAAAAACACTTCTACAAATCGTGTCAAACATAGGCTATATTCCTCTGCCTACAACTTTTTTGCTATATGGTAATATTGTGATATATGGTGGGTGGTGGCAGCGACTTGCTGTGCTTATATTAATTAATGTAAGGGCTTGATCAATATTAGGGCTACAGCATAGGCCATTTCCGGCCCTATATATAGCCAGCAACCCGTTACGGCATTTTCCTCACACACCCGCCCCAAAATCTTACTCAAAGAGAGCTAGAAGTTAGGGAAAGAACAAACAAACGTACCAACAAATTGCAACGTCGCCAACAATGTCATTCGAGTCAAATGTTGGTTCGACCGATAACACGGACCAAATCGAGCCAGCAAAATTCCAGCGCACACTTTGGGGGGATCACTTCGTCATGACCAATACCACTGAGGTAAGATGGATCATTCAATGTGTATCTTAAAGGCATGTAATCTCAGGAGGGAGATTATTATATGTTAAATTGTCATTACACATTAAGTACATAGAGTCTCTTTTCCTTCAATGCATTGCATATAGTAACATAGACTTATTCTTATAGTTATTTAGCTATTCTTGTAGTTCCTTTCATCAACAAGAACATTATTTATTATATATAAGCGTAAAGTGAGGTTACGGTTGCATAAACAATTAAACTTTCGTACCTCAAATTTAATTAAATTACAATTTAGTCACTATAATGTACATTTCACATTTTGATAGCCCAAATTTAATTTTAATATGTTTTTGTATCAAAATTTTATGAGATTTTCTTACCGCCAATTTTTTAAATTTACATATTGGTCTTATGTTTAGATTTCACTTAAATCCATGAATCAATACACCAATCATTTTGAACCAATCCATGAATACAATCCACCATAACATAAGAGTATAAATTTAAGATCCGACCATTTTATATTTTCTTATTACTTGATACATTAAACAAATGGTAAAAGAGAGACGACTCTAAAATATTGCAAGAGGGAATTTATAAACTCATTTAGTACATTTGCGGGTTACTAAACAAACTTATACTAACTACATGTAAGTGTAACAAAATATGCGACATCTACATAAGCAAGTGTCATTAAATTGCTACAGGGAAAAGGGTTGACTGTTGTATTGGCGGCCAACTAAAAGAATTGGTCAAAACCTTTCCATCATCTACTTCCTCTTCATTTCATTTTTCACTAGCCTTCCATAACCCTCTCTTTATTTCTTTTTTTGCCTTCTTCGTCTAACCCTAATTAGTATACTATTTTTATGTATTCTAATCACAAGTATAAACTGGTCCATATACAAGAATGACCAACAGTCTAGAGAATTAATAATTGAACCATGAACCACCAACTTTTTTAGCTCAATGCCAAGTCCAATTAAAAATAAATATATATGGTTATTACTTATTTGAAAGTCATCATTTTCTACTATGAGATTTGAAGGCGTGAAATTTTAAGCGAATTCCAGTTTGTATTCCTTTTGTTTCTCTCTAGTATTTTTCTTTTTCACTCTGTCTAGAATTTTCAACAATTGTACATGGACTGTTTGGATAGGTATCTACACATATCAAATAAATAGTTCCCTATTTTCTATAAAAAAAAGTAAATAATTATCAGCTTAAATACATCACCATAAAAGGAATTAAATCTCAACTATGCAAATTACAGTTTGGTACCTAAACTTAATAGATCTTTACATTTATCATTGCTTACTAAACTCTCTTCTAACTATAAGTTTATAACCCATTTCAGGGGCATCCAACACAAGAGCCGGAAAGAAGGGAACATGAAGTTCTGAAGGCAGAGGTGAGGAGGATGGTGACAGCCGATGAAATTAATGGAGTAGTCCACGAAGTCAATGATGTTCAAGCCATAATCCAGAAGCTACATTTGATAGATGTAGTTCAACGATTAGGAGTTGGGTATCATTTTGAGATGGAGATTGAAGAAGCTCTGGAAAAAGTTTATGTTCATGGGGGAGAGTCATTTATTGGAAATAATAGTAACATTGATTTGTACGGTGCAACCCTTTGGTTCCGACTCCTCAGACAACAAGGGTTTCGTGTTTCCCCTGGTATATGTCAGTCCCCACTCCTCAAGTTGAAAAAGATCCAATAGTTATTATTGTGACAAACTTTAATACAACTATATGGTATTTGTTGTAACTAATCATTAAGTATCTGGTGTAGAGGGATTCAGAAGGTTCAAGGATGATGAAGGGAAGTTCAAAGAATCATTGGCATCCGACGAGCAGGGATTGCTAAGTTTGTATGAGGCAGCACATGTTGCATTCAATGGAGAAGACATATTGGACGAAGCTATGGAATTTGCAACCAAGAATCTGAAGTCGATCATTCTTAATCACAAGGGCTCTTCATCATCGAAGAAGCATGTCGAGTTTTCCCTTAGCCTTCCCGTTTGGAAATGTGTCCCCAGAACACTTGCAAGACACTCAATTGACATTTACTCCCAATACGAGAATGCCTGCCATGAACAAACAGTGATTTTGAAGCTGGCAAAGTTGGACTTCAACATGGTGCAAAAATTCCACAAGCAAGAGCTTCATCAACTCTCATTGTGAGTCCTAATCGACAAATTCGACTTTAATAATCGAATTACCATCAAAATTATTTTGTCTATCTCTATATAGGGTTCATTAAAATATAACACATACCAAAATTGTAACTAATCAAGGCAGTTTTGATTATAATTTTGTTGATATGGTGAGGGTCGTTACACTAATTCAGATAAGTATATATATTTTGAATTGATTCGCGACATATAATATATGCAGGTGGTGGGCGAGTCTTGAAACGACGACTAAATTTCCATATGCAAAAGACCGACTTGCGGAGTCCTATTTTTGGATCAATGCCGTTTACTTCGAGCCAGTGTATCAATTGGGGAGGATCATACTTCTCAAGTTTGGATGCGTAATTACCCTCTTGGACGACACCTATGACAACTTTGGTAACTACAAGGAGCTGGAGCTCCTCACAGAAACCATTCAGAGGTACAACTTCTCGTCGTCACTGTCTGTCAGTATGTATTATCACTATGACATTCTCATTTATTTTCAAAAACGCAATTTTAGGTTGGATATCAGTGGTTTGGAAATCCTTTCGGGCACAATGAAGGGCGTGTATCAGCTCATCATTAACCTGTTCGAAGACATCGAGCAGGAACTCACAAGAAGTGGACTCAGTACTTTTGGTACTGACTACTGTAAGGAACAGGTAGTTATTTTATACTTCTCTACATGTACTAAGCTAAGGCTTCTTCTAGACCACAAATTTTCATTTCTTAGATGACTGAACGCTAAGAATCCAACAATGTGTGAGAAATTTGAGGTATTGGGATGAATTAATTACATTTTAGTTGGAATGATATCACGAACTTTGATTGAGAAATTTGATGCCCAATATTCAAGAATCGAATTGAAACGTTACTCTTTTCGTACGTGTTAATGTAGTTCAAAAAATTGTGTCGCTCCTTCTTGGCTGAGGCCCGGTGGCGCACCAAAGGCGAAGTTCCGAATCTGGAGGAGTACTTGGAGGAAACACATGTGACCAGCAGTTATTTTTTTCACTGCCCAGCTTCGTTCCTAGGGATGGGAGCAGAGGTAGGAACCAAAGAGGCTTATGAGTGGGTAACCAATGAAACCAATAAGATGGTCATAGCTGCGTCTCTCATTTGCAGGATCCAAAACGACATCAGGTCTCACATGGTAAGTATCGTGCAACACACAAGATAGTATAAAATAGATATATAGTGTTATTAACTTTTCGAACAACGGTGAATGGTGTTTATGTCCGCATGTGTGCAGTTCGAGCGAAACAGGAAGCATGTGGCTTCAGCAGTGGAATGTTACATGAAGGAGCATGACGTCTCTCAAGAGGATGCGATCGTTGTGTTGTGGGAAATGATTTCAAAATCTTGGAAAATCATGATTAAGGAATATGAAAAACCAACTCCAGTTCCTGCCATTGTTACAGATCGAGTTCTCAATTTTGCTCGCTTGATCAGTGTGATGTACAGGAAGGGTGATGCCTTCACTCATCCTCATCTTCTAAAGGAACAAATTGCTTCCTTGTTCGCCAATCCTGTGCCGCTTTGAACGTCGACGTCCAAGATTGCATGTGATAACATAGTTCTTCCTCAAGTTCAATGCTCGAACACCCTCATCGAGTCTTTGTTGTTGCGATCACCCTTATAAAAAAAAACAGGTCTTTGTTGTTGTTTCTTTTCGTGTGATGCTTTGATTCGTGTCAGCTTCCGTCGTTTGGATTTTTCAGCTTTATTAATAAAGAACAATTTCTCTTTGGAGGATTTGTTGTCTATCTGTTTGAAGGTCTGACCTTGGCCGTCGGCATATTAGATTTTATGGCGAAAGGAATTTATATCTCCTGTCATGACCCTATAAGTAATAGAATTGTAAAAATTAAAAAATTTGGGTACCAAAATATAATTTTATCATCAAAATTTATGGACTTTTTTGTAAAAAAAATTAGGCACTAAATTTTAAGAAAAAATAATTGTGGGTACCCAAAACATAATTTTTTAAAAAAATAGTGTGTTGATTACGATCGAACCACTGACCCGATCCGTCCAGACCAGTCCTAACCCTTGAGGATAAGATAGAGTAAAAAAAAAACAGGGACAAAACGGATCCATTATACATCTAGACCCTTCGGGAATGGATATCAGAGAGGATCATGGATACGTCATGACAATTTTTAGCCCTATCCAATACAACAATACGTAGCAAGTAGACATAAATGGAATCCGTCCACATCAAATTGGGGTGCTCCTCTTGATAGGGATGGTAATCGGTCGGTTACCGATGGATTAACCGGTTATCGGTATACCGAATAATTACAAACTGCTACCGATTAATTACCGATACCGGAAGATAATCGATTAACCGGATAACCCGTTATCGGTGATCAACCGGTTAAGAAGCAGCCACTTCCTGCCTTCCTCGCATCCTCTGTCTCGCGAGTTTCTCCATCTTTCCTCACATTCCAAACCCTTTCTCCGCCTTCTCTCATTCATTTCTCTGACGCCGAGGGACACAATCTCTCATCGGCGATGCCACCACGAAAGCAGGTCATCGACGAGGAGGAGGAAAATTGTTGGCGTTTTTCGGCTCTTCCCAAGCATGCATCACGAATCCGGCCACAAATGAGGCTGGAGATCGAGCGACGGAGAGAGGGAATCAGACAACCTCCCAACCTTCTCTTTTCCTCAAAGCTAAAATTGATCTGGAGAGATCAAGAGCGGTAACTCCTACCCAGAGAACTGATTTTAGATCTGCGTTTTGAGAACGGCGGTGATGTTTTTTGACTGAAAACCCAGGTTATGGTTTCTTTCTGGGCAGGAGAAGAACGGCGGTGGCGATAGAGACTGAGATATCGCCGGGAAAGAAGAAGACATGGACATGGAGTCGTCGCCGGCAGATTCTCATTCATCTTTGGGGTCATCGATTTTGGGGTTTTCAATTTGTGGGGTTTTCAATTTTGGGGGTTTAAATCTTGGTTTGCTGCCTTCCTTGTACCTCCCACTATGGGTTAATTGTTATTTGGGGTTTAGGAGGGTGATTGTTCCCATTCGCGTCGATCTGTTGTTGCTGGGTAGTTAGGAGGGTGATTGTTCCATGGTTGTGGGTGAGTAGGTGTGGGTCCATAGGAGGGATGAGAGTGGAGAGGAAGAAGAGTAGGGGATCGCAGATGGAATCGGTATATCCAGTATACCGATTTGCCGTCGGTTATTTACCGGATGCGAGTCGGTATACCAATAGAGGTAAATTGACTACCGCATACCGAAACTGTCGGTTATCGGTATAACCGGTACCGGTCGGTTACCGATTCGGTTACTGGTTATATCAATAATCGGGAAATCGATTACCAATCCTACCTCCTGATAAGGAGTTAGTATTATTTTCTGTACCACAAGTCCTGATGACTTATTAATTAGGCTTTATCTACATCTACATCTACACTTATTATTTTCTTATTTACAGAAAAAATACATCAATGTCATTCCACCACGTTTAGCAACCGAAATGTTATTGATTCAAATATTGCATATCGAATTGCACTCTTGAATGTATAGATTCTTCGTAATGTAATGGAATAGAAGAGTCAGAGTCTTTTCTCGCCCAGACGAATTCCATTCAGGCTTGGCTTGACCCTGCTGAAGGTACAAAGTTCATCTTCAAGGATGCTTGTTGGTCACCTTGTTCCTGAAGATCTAAAAGGATATCGACTAGATCCTTAGGTTGACGACCATCAACGTTACCGCCTTCTCTTCTATCAGAAATCCCTGAAGAATTTTTAGATTTTAGTTTGCCAAAATTAACAATGCATCATTATTAACAAATACGATAAAAAAGATCATATACGTAGAGGGTAGGGGTGGCTATACGGTCCGGTCCGGTTAAATTGGACCAAATTGATCTGGTCCCAGTCCGGTCTTTTCGAGAATATAAGGACCAAAGATTGGATTGGATACACTCCGGTCTTGACCCGGTCCTGTCCCAATTTGATTTTGAGTGTTGGGGTCTCTTATCCGGGTTTTTTTTTTACCTCAAATCTAAGCCCGAATATGAGATTGGATTGTTTGCTATCCGGTCCCAGTCCGGTCCCGGTCCGGGTTATACGGTCCAGTTTCGGGTAAAACCAAACAGTCCTGGACCAAATTGCCAGCCCTAGTAGAGGGAGTCATCTTTTGTAGAGGGATTCCTCCGCGGGATTTGCTTGATTTCTAATTGTTCATTCTATGAGAAAAGTTATTGAAGTTTTAGAGGGAATGGGTTATGGTGGTTACTTATTTTTTAGTAATCACGGTGGCAACCTCTTTATATACCATTTGATTAATTATTTTCCCTTCTTTTTTAATCTTACGGTCAATATTCTATATAATCCACCCAAACCCTAGTTCTATCCTCCCTCCCGCCAAACCCGTCGCAGCCGCCTCTACATACCACTCCCGTTGCACGGCCGACAGCAGCCCCGACCACCCTCGGCCACCGCAGCAGCCTCCCTCCCCTCTGTGCCGTTACTCTCTCTCTCTCTCTCTCCAGCTTCTCTCTCTCCCGCTGCTCTCTTTCTTTCTCTCTACCATCACAACATACATACCAAAGATATGATTTTGGCGGACAGTAGCAGCCATATACAACCATAATAGACATAAAAACCTAGATCTAGTAATTTTTTGTTTATTATTTCTGCAATGGTATTGATTGTTTATGGTATAGATTGTTTATATTGGTAGTTTTCCTGTAATGGTATAGATTTATTTCTGCAATAGTATTGATTGTTTATGGTATAGATTGTTTATATTGGTAGTTTTCATGTAATAGTATAGATTTATTTATGCAATGATAGTTTTCTTGTAATGGTATAGATTTATTTCTGCAATGGTATTGATGTTTTTCAAAGTGGTAGTGTTTGTCTAATGGATTGGTACTGATTTCGTGTTTTTTTTTTTTTTTTTTTTTTTTTTTTTGCAGAAAGATTGAGAAAAATATAGAAAGGAAATCTGGTTGGAGATTACGGAAGTGAGAGAAAGAGAGAATTTTAATTAATAGATTTTTTGTAACTACCTAAAATGTAATTTATTAAAAATTAATATAATTTATTTTTCCATACCCAATTTACCCTTAGTAATCACCGTAACCTGTGGGCCCCAGCAACAATTCTCTCTGTCAATTAGAAAATCAACCTTCATTTTTTCATCCAAGTCACTGGTCTGATGGGATGGTGAGACTTTCTTGATATTTGGAATCCACCAATCTTCCCAAACATTATTGCTCTCACCATCACCAACTCTCCAACGAAACCCTTCCATGATCTCCTCTTTCTCTTTAACTAAACTTCTCCATATATAACTCAGGTTGTTCCCGAGTTTGGCTTTCAGAATATCACTTCTAGGGAAGTACCTGGCCTTAAGAATCCTATCCAAAAGAGAATTTGGTCGATTGAGCACATTCCAAATATGTTTCCCAAGCATGGCCTTGTTTAACAGTTTTTAAGATCCTTGAAACCCAATGAATCCTCTTCTCTTCATGTTTCTGCCCCCACCAGAATCGGGCAATCAGACTTTGGATTTCTTAGAGGATTCCCTCTGGGATCTGAAACACCATCATAGGATAGATTAACTGTGCCTGAGCCACTGCTTTTATTAGGATTTCTTTACATGCTGCTGACAAACGTGAGACTTTTCCAATCCATAAGTTTCTTCCTCGACCGCTCCTTCAAATCGTAAAAAACCTCCCTCTTTGATCTTCCAATGACAGTAAACAGCCCCAAATATTTCTGGTGTTTGTCAACAGCTTTAATCCCGAAGGTTCCGCTAATCTCGAGTCTCCTCCTCCATTTAACGTTCCTGCTAAAGGATATTTTTGATTTAGAAAGATTGGTACTCTGTCCAAATTCCATTTCATAGATTTTCAAGATTCTCTTCAGTTCGTCACATTTTTCAATAGTTGCTCTCCCAAACACAAGACTGTCATCCGCAAACAACATATGGGATATTGTGGGTGCCCTGTGGCAGATTTTGATCCGATCCCATGAATTCTTTTTTCATTTTCTGCCTTCTAAAGTAGAGCCGAAAAGCCCTCCGCACAAATGAGGAAAATATATGGTGAGAGGGGATCTCCCTGCCTTAATCCTCTTGAGGGTTTTATATCAATAGATCGGTGACCATTGACAAGAACTAAGTATGACACACTTCGCACACACATCATCACCAACCCAATCCACTTCGCACTTGAATGCTATTTCTTGAATTTTCTTCCCTTTTTCTCTCTGTCTGCAGTCTTGCTTTTGGTGCTTACATGATAAAAAAGTTGTGTCAACTCAGTTCTCAAGATCCAGCCTACCTAGTTTTGTTGAAACACAACACCAGTGCTGCTAGGGTTCCTCTTCTCAGTTCAAGTCAAGCTACTAGTGGCTTGTCTACCAAGGGAATAAGCTAGCTAGCTGAAATTCATCTCAATCAAGCTAATATATATCATCCTTATCCTACTCTCATGTTATTCCAGCAGATGATGTTATTTTCCCTTTGGGTGACAAATAAATCAAAACATGATGGTATAGATCGAAGGCACTTCCCTCTACTCCACCGGCTCGATCAACCGTCTCTGGATCTCACCGCATTGGATTGTACTCAACCGACATCAAGGACAAATTATGTTTCCTTCTCACTCCAAGTCCAAAATGTTCCATCATGTCCAAACTTTCAGATGTCGTTCCAACCGGGAGCTTCCAATCAAAATAGTAGAGCAAATTCCGATGAAAGGAGATGAAAGCAAATCTCCGCTTGTAAATTGGGATGTTTCCAAAGCTCCCAAGTCCAATGGTGGTCTAGGGGTGTTCGATTTTGCTAGTTTTAACAGCGCAATGCTCTCCAAGTGGCTCTGGCGATTTGCAAATGAAAGGAACAATTGGTGGAGGACACTCATTGACATCAAATATCCAAACCCTCGGTCAATTTGGCATACTGGGATCATCGATAGCGGCTTTGCTAACTCTGCCTGGGCTAATATTACTAAAGAGCACCACAACTTTCGGAGCTTCGCTTGTATCGACCCTGGTAACAGAGCGTGGACCTCCTTCTAGCATGACCGGTGGATCCCCGAAGCGCTGCTGGCTGACTCTTTCCCACGGATCGTTGCTGCTACTACCACCCCTGATGCCTCGATCGCAGACAGTAGAATCACCTCTAGTGATCAATCAGTTTGGATTATTCCATTGAATGTTTCTTTGAGAGGGGGGAGGGGGGAGGGCTGAGAGAGAGGGGTTCCTTTCTTAATTTCCTTGATAATTATGCCGCTCTGAGAGTTTCCAATGGTCCGTGCAGATTGATCTGGTCCCCTGGAGCAGATCAACCTTTCACAGTGTGTTCCATGTACAGGTCTTTGACGAAGAACAAGTTCCCAGGAATCAACAACTTTCCCTACAATTCGGTGTGGAAACAAATCATTCCGACAAAAGTTTGCATCTTCATTTGGCGGACCTTCCTCAACAAAATCCTCACAATTGACAACATAAAAAAAAAAGAGGACAGTAGATGGCTAACAGATGCGAGCTTTGCAAAGTTGAAGAAGAAACGGTGGACCATCTTTTCATCCATTGTGCCTTCAGCAAAGAGGTTTGGAGAAGCAGTCAATTGATCTGCTCGAACATCGACCTGTCGTCCATCGATACTTCATCTTCAATCAGCAGGTGGAGCTCCGATATGCCGGGGAGCATGGATGGCTGGGTCAATTACTGCGCGCTCCATGCCATCTTTTGGCAGGTTTGGCTGGAGAGAAATCGCATGATCCTCCATAACAAGCAACGCACCTCAACCGCAATCACTCTCAAGGCCGTCAAGCTTATGATGGAGTGGCCCATTGTCATGGGCAAAATCAGCAGGGAAGAAGGACGACAATGGATCAACAGCGTCCAGCTCCCACCTATGTGAAGTGCTCGCTGAGTTCTCCGGGTTTGCTTCTTACCGCGCGTTCTTCATCAGCAGATCGATCTGTTTGTGCAGGGATGTCTTTGTTTTGGGCTGTTTTGTTTTTTATTGTTGATCATCGTTAGGCTCGAGTTTCTCTTGCGACCTCAAAACTACTCTAACAAACTACAGTTAAAGTTAATCTAATTACAGGTTGGGAACTCACTTAGGTATGATTCCCCCTAGCCACTAGCCAGATTAATGATTGATGATCTCTAACTTGTTTCTATTTCATTCACAATGCGGAGAATCCTTGACTAGACCTTGAGTCTCGACTAAAGGAACAAGGCCCTCTTGAGTCAATTGCCTAGAGGGACGTATCCTTCTCTAGAACAACCGATCAAGGCGTTTTGAACTAGACTCCCTCTATCAAAAGAGGTTCTCAATTGATACAAAGCAGTGAATCGATCCTCGACTAAAGCAATCGATCCAATACTATCAATCTATGGTGCTCTATTGACCTAATCAGGTATTCGCTCTCATAGGATCAAAGCAGAATCAATAATCTCGACTAAAGCAGAATTGAATCATGAAAGCATGCATAGATTGAATATGAACTCAAGATTATCAAGTAGGAGTACTCATACAATCATCCAATCAAACAAACATAGCTAGGGTTCCTCAAAACCTAAGTGAAGGGAAGTTACTCCATAGAGAAGAGAGAGACTGCAATAAGAATCTTCAGATGATCAGTCTTCAAGTCCGGGCTTGTTCCTCGAGCTTCCAAGGCAAATAAATCCTCCAATTCCGTTCTTAGAATGCCCTGAAATCGCCCTCTCTCTCTTTGGTTCGTCCCTTGGATGTTTGGGATCCAAAATCCAAAATCCATCTTTCTCTTTCCTTTGGCTTTAGTCTGCCTCAAAAACCCGATTCTGGGCAAAACACGGTCGAGGACACGGCCGTGTTTTACTTTTGCCCGCCCGTGTTTTGCCCCCAGCAGCCCCCGTCAGCCAAAACACGGTTTCAATGCTTCGTTTCTCCCTCGTCCGAACTCTGAATCAGTCGCCGTTTGATCCCAGACGCTCGTAGTCTCATCCTCTTTCTTTTCATGACAAGCTTGTATGATTCTTTGTCCATAAAGTGAGGTAGAATTCCATTCTTCTTCAGGTCATGCCCGAGAATCTTCTCCGAATCTTCTCCCTAATCACCAATTGATCTCTGATTGACTTGAAACTTGCGCCTATGCTTCACTTTATGTGCTGGGGCCTGAAATGTGACAAAGGAACACAATCTAGCATAAAATAGGCCAAAGACGCGATAATTAAAGCTCAAATAGTCAAGAAACAAATGGGAAAACATGTGCAAATATCGAGTCATCAATTGTTTCGTATCTTTATGACGATTTTCTTTTTTGTTACTCTCAGGTGCTGTGTGTTGGACACCGTTGATGGCAAAGATGATATATGCATGGTAGAGGAAAAAAGAATGCAGGAGCAAATGAATCAATGGCTATAGCGGTTTGCCACAAAGATCTTGCAAAGACTATTGCTGCTCGTCTTGGTGATTTTGCGTTTTTTTATTGCTGATTTGGCTTTTTTTTGTGTATCATGTGTATTGTCCACACTGAAATTTGTTTATCTCAATAATAGTTGAGATGTTGAGCGCCCAAATCTTTCAATTAAAATTTTGTCAAAGGTTATGAAGGAGGGGCTAGCGTACTATCACAGGTACTACGGTACTGTTATGCAACCGAATGTCCAGATAAGTAGCTTCTTTGACACGGCTGTGCTATGAGCTATATGTGTAGCCAAATAATGAAATGCAGGTTATCGCCATCATTTTTTAAAGACTCATATAATGACCCCTTGGTGTTCTTAAAAATTATGTACATGACAAATTCTTGTTCCTTAAAATACAATTTCAGTGACCATTGATAGTTCCTAAAAGTCACATATGTGACAATTTGTTGTCCCGGAAAGATATGTTATAAGAACCAATTGTTGTCCTTAATCAAATTCTTGGGGACAATTTTATGATCCCAATATGATACTTATGGGTACGACATGTCGACCATATAAAAACAAAAAGGGTCAACCTATTGTCCCCAAAGATCCACAACAATATCATAAAATTGACTACATGGACGATAATTTGTCCTTTGTAATAATTTTAGAGACAACTCCTTGTCCTCAAAGTCATGTTTATAGGGACAACATGTCGACCTTAAAGAAAAATAAAAATAGAAACTTGCTACTATTGGGGACGACTACCGTCCCCAGTATTAGGGACGACATTGATTTTGTCGTCCCCACAAGAATAGAGGACAAAGGTATTAGGCACCACATATTGGGGACGAAAAGGTTGACCCAAAAACAATGGGACGATTTTGCCTATTTCTAGGGACGATTTTTGTCGTCCCCAAACCTCCTCTGTTTTGTAGTGAGATATTTACTGATAGGAAATGGTTGAATGACGATTGAATCATTACTGTCATGTCATGTATCATCAATGTTTTGCTTAGACATTTAATCGTCAATGAGTGGCGGACGACTCCACGGCAGCCACCGGTGCAGAACTTGCTTAATACGAGGATAGTTTGTTTTTATGGAATACGAGGAGAGTTAATTCCTATTATTTTAAGTGGGTATGTTTCATTCCTTCTTGGTAAGGACTAGTGCGGGGTAAGGTGGTGGGTTGTCTTTTTTACATTAATTAAGTTAACCCATGCAGGATCCGCCGCAGCAAAGTCGTTCCTTTTGTCTTGGAATCTTTCCTATTTTCAAATGACAAATTGATATGTGCGCTAGCTGGACCGCAATCCAAACATACTTGTTTCTTTCTTTGTGTTTAATTTGTGCAAACACTACCCTACCCTAGCTAGCGAGCTTCCTATTTATAGTCGCGGCCAGTCGTAGCCAACTCCAGTTTCACGTTCACCAATAGCCAGCGATCATCAAGACCTAGCTAAGATAGAAAAACCAGACAGGTAGAAGAAATTAACAACGTAGGTACGATGTCGTCGGTGGTTCAATCCAACGTAGCACTGCCAGCTGCGACTGCTCCGGCCGGTGGGGAACAACGTCGGATACAGACAACCGAGTTCCACGAAACAGTGTGGGGGGATCACTTCCTCACCACTACTCCTGCTGCGGCTCAGGCTCATGATGAGGTACGTACGTACGTACATGGAGATTCTCAATTAACAGTGTATTTTTGTTTATGTAAGGGTATATTAGTGTACTAGGATACAGATCTCTGATTGCGCCTACTATAACTGCACCGCTACCAATAAAAAGATGTATCCCTCTTATCCTTTTCAGGGGAATCCTGTCCCAGATCTAGAAAATGGGGCATATGAAGCTTTGAAGGAAGAGGTGCGAAGGATGGTGACGGGTGAAGTTGATGATGATGATGATGTGGCCATAATTCGGAAGTTGCGCTTGATGGATACAATCCAACGATTAGGCGTTGAGTATCACTTCCAGATGGAGATTGAAGCAGCTCTTCAAAATGTGTATTTACAGGGAGGGGAATTTTTCCTTGAGAAATATGATGATATTGATCTTTGCAATGCCGCTCTCTGGTTTCGACTCCTCAGACAGCAAGGCTTTCGTGTTTCTACTGGTATGCCTAATTCTGTAAATGTTTTATAATAACCTCATATATCTCAATCCCAATAATAAGGTGATATGTCCTAGAATTAAATTCCGTAATCAAGAGTTGTTCACCATAACAAGAGTTCTAAGAAAAGGCACAACCATAATCAATTTATTTCTTTATTCAACTCCTCGATCGAATGAAAATCTTCTCTTAGAATATGAAGTTTGTACATGCAGGTACCTCTAAGACTTATACTTAAAATTTACTTTAATATTGGATGTTTACACATTCATGATTAATGCTAACACATACTACCAATATCACAAACTCCAATAACATGTGAATAACTAGTGATTCTCAGTGACTCCTTTTGTTAGGGAAGATTCAAAATGAGAGTGGCAAATGGATTGGTGGATTGGATTATGGATCCAAATGATATCTAAACATTAGACCAATATGTAAATTTTGGAAAGTTTAGTTGCTAAAATATCATATTAGAAAATATTTAGGTACCAAAACGTTATTTTCCAATAATAGTTTGCGTATAAAAAATAAATATAAAATAGTAACTAAACTATAATTTATCCACCAATCTAATGAAATTGGAATCAAATAGATTGGATTAGTTGGATATTTAAGTGATTGGATTATATTGAATCGGACTGGAAATAGCCACTTCTATTAAAAATAAATGATTATCCTTGGATCAGATCAACTTTGTCGTACATATATTGTTCATTGTGATAGTGTCATTCATATGCATGATTATATACGTGGGCGCAGATGGGTTTAGAAGGTTCAAGGACGATGGAGGAAAGTTCAAAGAATCGTTGGCATCAGATGCGCAAGGGTTGTTGAGTTTGTACGAGGCATCACATGTGGCGATCCATGGAGAAGACATACTGGATGAAGCTCGAGGCTTCACTACCAAAAACCTCAAGTTGCTTGTCCAGGATCACAAGACCTCTTCGTTATTGAAGAAGCAAATCGAGTTTTCCCTCGACCTCCCTATTTGGAAATGTGTCCCTAGGACAATTACTAGGCACTGCATCGAAGTTTACTCTGAATCCGACCAGCAAGCCATGACCCATAATGAAGCAATAATCTTGAAGTTTGCAAAGTTGGACTTCAACTTTGTGCAGAGAGTCCATCAGGAAGAGCTCCGCGAACTCTCAATGTCGGTACAAATTTGGTTTACATACATATATAAATGTGTACCCTTCATTATGGGGACAAAATGGATATATATATATATATGATTTCTTCTCAACTTTAGTGATATTATTTACTAATTAGGTGGTGGGCAAGCCTTGACACGAAGACCAAATTCCCATATGCGAAAGATAGACTTACGGAGACGTATTTCTGGATCAACACAGTTTATCACGAGCCCAGGTACAGTGTGGGAAGGAGCATACTCACCAAGTGTGGAGTTGTGTCGGTCCTGTTGGACGACGTCTATGATAACTTTGGCAATTACGATGAGCTTGAGATGCTCACGGAAGCCATTCAGAGGTGCGCGCGTGTAGCCTAGCCTAGCCTAGCCTATAATTCACAACAAGCTCAACGTAACCGGATTTAATATTAATGTAATTGGTTTAGGATGGATATCTCTGCCCTCGACGAACTTCCGGCCACTATGAAGGAGGCCTACCGAATCGTCATCGTTAACCTGTTGGAAGAAATCGAGCAGGCAATTTCAGGAACTGGGCCCACTTATGGCGTAGACTACTGCAAGCGAGAGGTATTTGTTTTTTTTTTCTTTTTGTGGGAATATGATTCATTATTAGCCCACTCGTTGTAGTTCAACAAACAAACTTAATTACTGTAAGTACGTACGTACGTTGTAGTTGAAGAGAATGTGCCGGTCCTTCTTGGGCGAGGCCCGATGGCGCACCGAGGGTCACGTTCCGAAGCTGGAGGAGTACCTGACGCACGCAAACATAACGGGAGGCTATTTCTTCCTCTGCCCGTCCGCCTACTTGGGCATGGAACCAGAACTGGCCACTAGAGAGGCCTTCGAGTGGATAGCCGATATAACTAATAAGATGGTGATGGCCTCCACTTCCATCTGTAGGGTCCAAAACGACATCATGTCCTACCCGGTACGGCGCTTTTACCGAGTCATGGGCTTATATATCCGCTAAGAATTATGGTAGAGCTGTTTATCAATGTCTTCGTGATGGACTTGATTTTTATCAAAAATGGTGAAAACGTGTTGGAAATATCGTTTCTTTAAGTGTCTAATCATTAATTATTTTAATCCAACTAAATAATCAGAAATTTTCCTCTTGATAGTAATATCCTTATTAATTATGTGGGTGGGTGGGTGCAGTTTGAGCAAAAGAGGTCGCACGTGGCGTCAGCCGTTCAGTGCTACATGAAGGAGCACGGTGTCTCCGAGGAGGAGGCGACAAAGGCAATGTGGGGACGGATTTCCGATGCCTGGAAAGATATGACTGAGGTGTATTGCCAGAAACCGACCCCTTTGCCCAGAGCTTTGCTGTTGCCTGTCATCAACTTTGCGCGGACCATCAGTGTGATTTACTTGAAGGCCGACGCATACACTCATCCCCAGTTTCTGAGACAACGCATTGCTGATCTCTTCGTCAATCCCGTGCCGCTTTGATCTGAACAAGCTAGCTACCTACCTAGCTGGATTCCGTTCAGATTATGAACAATTTCGTGTGTGTGTGTTTTTCTCTCTCCCTCTATTGCAGTTTGTACTACTAGCTAGTCTGACTCTGCAGAGTGGTTCTTCCATTCCATGTGTGAGGTTACGTACGTTCTTCCTTGGGTGATTGCTTCATTGTTTTGCTTTCTTTTCCTGAGTGTACGTTTTGTTCTTGGACTTGGATCTGTTTCAGGTTCATTGTTTTCTTTTCAGCTTCGCTAATAAAATTTTCCTTTTGCTTTTATATCTATCCTAGCTTTCTAGCTTCCATGTGTCAAGTACTTCATAGTTATGTTTTAAGTGAATTTCTATGTCACGTAACTCATAACCATGTTTAAGTTTTTTTAGTCTCTTTAACTTATACTAGCAAAAGTCTGCTCGCTATCGCTTCACACGTATCAGAAAAATAAATATTTCAAAAAGTAATATTTTTAATGTTGACTTAAAAGTGAAAGTAATTTCATTATTAATCATTCTTTTTTAGGTTTGTTATTTACAATAGCATATGGTAGATGAACATGCATAAGGTAGAAGGATCATCGGATAGATTATTTATGTTTAAACTTTGTTCATTACGCCAATGTTTCAATTTGTATGGCTAGTAGTTGATCCTGCTGTAACTTTTGAAGAATGAAGCAACTTCTCTAGATCTTTTCAAGAAGATTATCAATATTACTTTCTAATATAAGAGGTAATGAAAAATGACAAAAAAATTTCTAACCAAAAATATGAATACAAATTCTAAAAATAAAAAAGTATTGAAATTTGATCACGTTAAATTTATTTCATATTAAATAATACTATTTTTTAATTTTATAATTTTTATAATGATATAAATGAAAGAAAATTATGTTTTCCAGAAAAATAATAATATATGATAAGTAGAATTTTGTATTTCACATCGGAGCTTCTACTTTTAAGTTACGAAAAACTTCAATTTTTTAAAAAGCGAAACTTTAGAGGTGTTTGGCTTGGTTTCAACTTTTGAAACATGAAACTTCTAAAATTCGGGCGAAACATAGTTTTACTCTTTTGGTTTTTTTTTTTTTGGTTTGAGTTAATCGTGATTTTCCTTTATGATATTTTTGGACTGATTGCAGGTTTGACAAGGTTCAACACGCATTGATCAGGTAGAATTAGGTTGGATACCCATGGATTTGGGTTAAATTGTCTTTCTCAAACAAAAGGGAAAAGCAAAATGAAAAACACTAAAGCTAAAACTCGCTACCGATTCAAAACTCATCACCACCAGGTTCAACTCGCTTTGACCTGGTTGGACCGAGTTTTGGACAAATTTACACCTGACACAACATGCCAATTACAAACACAAATAAAACTCATTCCCGGCCAAAACCTGTAAAATTGGGTTCAAGTCGCTTTGGTCGGGTCAAATTAGGTTGTATACCCATGTGTTTGGAATTAATTATCATTCTCAACCAAAAGGAAAAATGTAAAAACAATACTAAAGCGTATAAAACTTGCTCATGACCCCAACAAAAAGGAAAAAGTGAAAACACACTGAAGCGAACGAAACTCGCCAACATTGAGTAGATATGCTATGGATTTTCGATAGCGACATTGGGTTCAATTGTGATCATGCTCAACAAAAAGGAAAAAGAGAAAAAAAAAACTAAATAGGATGAAACTCGGCCCCGATACAAACTAGTGGTAGTGGCCTTGAGAAACGATGGTGGGAAACAACTTAGGATTCCGCCAAAAATATTTCGAGATGGGCTGCAGAATGGTGGGCAAATGCGCTTATTTGTGTTCAAGTAAAAAGATAAAACTCGCTCCCGCAGAAAACCTATAAAATTGGGTTCAAGTCGCTTTGGTCGGGTCGAATTAGGTTTTATACCCATGCGTTTGGAATCAATTGTTTCTCAACCAAAAGGAAAAAGATAAAAAAAAATACTAAAGTGGATAAAACTCGCTCATGACCCCACACAAAAAGGAAAAAGTGAAAGAAAAAAATACTAAAGCGTATGAAACTCGATCCCGATACAAAACTCACCAACATTGAGTAGATATGGTATGGATTTTTTGTAGCGACAATGGGTTCAATTGTGATCATGCTCAACAATAAGGAAAAAGAAAAAGAAAAAACACTGACGAAAACCCATCGAACAATAACAAAACACAAAGGCGATGATTTGTGCAAAAAAACCATAGATGAAAACCTAGCGAACAATAACTAAACCCAAAGGTTGTAGAATGGAGAGTGGGGTAAAAGAAGGGGTTGGAACTTCTCCATTTGTACTTGAAAGAGTGTGAGAGTCACCAATAAATAATAACTCACAACCTAGACTTTATTTATTAATTAATTTATTTTCGTAATTCGTTTATGATATCATAACTAAGTAACGGTTTATTTATCTTTTCCAGGCCAGCCCTTTTTTTTTCTCTTTTCCCTTTTCTCCTTTTTTTTTAATTAATAAATCTCACACCTAAAAAAAAGTAACTATTCATTTCTCTACTAAAATATCAACATTCAACCAATGATTTTTAGTCTTTTGATTTTAGACATTCATTTCTGATTAATGAACATAAGCTTTCTGTGAAGTATACAAAATGCATATGTTAAATTTTTTTGATATGGGTGATAGATAGATTGCAGTAAACAAAAATAAAACAAGCGAGTTCCTGGTACAAGAACGCACGAGGGGTGCGGACCGAACCAAGCCTATCAAGGAAACTAAGCCCGACAGAAGGCCCATGTTTCTTCATAGGCCTGCAAAACCAAAATGGAGCAAAAAAGAAGAGCCGAAAGACCAAACGAAGAACCCTAGAAGATAAAATGAATATGCGACTGTTTCTCTCCACTTTACTGTTGCTTCCACAATCCCTGAATATGCGACTGTTTCTCTCCAACCATATATGCCAGCAAACGGCGTGAAGAAAACAAAAGCAAAACCAATCACTTAAAGAGCTCGGCAGCTCTGCCTTCCATCTGCGTATGACTTCCAGGATGTCCCCTTGAGGCTTGTTCAGAATGCGGCAGATCCTCCTTCCTTCAGCCCACAGCTCGTTCCCAAACGCACAACTGGTGAAAATGTGATCGATGGACTCCTCTTCTTTACAGCACAAACTGCACTAAAGAAAAAAGTTCAACTATACAACATATAGCTCATAAGGGGTGAGCTCCAAGAGATTAAATGAGAGCTTGACGCAAAACACAAAGAGGACAACAAAACAAACATGACAGAAGAGAAGAAATCATAAACAGGGAGAGCAAGACACAGGAAGAAAGAAAGAGATCACAGGACAGGAGAAAAAAGAATGCAGCTCTAGATGAGCCAGAATATCCCCATAAATGTAGAAAGAGAGAGACAACACTATGTATATTGTAGAGCCTTCAAGTCTATGAACAACAAGCAAAAGATGGGAAGCACATAGATGCAAAAGAGAAAGGAAACAACAAACATCAATCACATGACAGCAATCCTAGACAATGCAAAATTGATCCATAGAGGGGCTTGATCGCGATTGATTTTCTTAGTCACTAGAAGCCATTTTACCATTAATCCGTAGGGCTGGATCGAGCATTTTGATAGACTTGTGAGTGGACTTGTCATGGATTGTGCGCAGATTCCTCTTAAATTTTATAGAAAATAATAATTGACAATTCATATTGAACGGAACTCATCAAACTACATATACGAGCAGATCACTTGTTTTTAGCATATTAATTAGTTAATATATAAAAGCCTAGATTGTAACTTACTATTCATTAGTGGCTCTCACACTCCTCCATTCTACAACCTTTGTTATTAGTTATTATTTGCTAGATTTTCCCACTTGCAAGAAGAAGTATGAGAGTTACTAATGAATAGTAACTCAAAGCTAGGTTTTTATATATTAATAACTAACTAGCTTTATCCCTATTTGAAATAGGTCGGGTGAATTTCGTGTCAAGTAATTCATATTCATGTTTAAGTGAATTTCGTGTGAGGTAATTCATAGATATGTTTAAGTTATTAAGTTTTTTTAACTCAGTTAAGTATATAATATATTCTTTGATTTTTAGAAATTTAATTTTAAATTGATGGCTTTGGTGGTGTGGTGAGGTTCTTGGTATGTTTTATAAGCTTTATGGTATGCTTTATGAATAGTCTAGTATGCTTTATAAATTTTGTGAAGTGGTGTAGTTGTGATATACTTTCTAAACTTTGTAATATTTTGTGGTGTGGTTTCTTGTGTTTTTTTGTTTGTGTTTTGTGGTCTCCATAATTAATGCACCCCTCGCCCACTTGATACACACATCACAACTGTGTCCCTCCCCCAATTTTTCATAGTGACCAATGTGCCCTCCTTTATAGATCCTCATTAAATGTGGTCAACACTTGAAGAAAAAAAAAACAGCAAACTCCTATTAGTTAGAGCTAGTATTAGTACCATACTAACAAATTGAGTGTTAGCACCCTAGCCCCTTCCTCGTAATAAACTATAATGATGATTCCATTTAAATGCTAGTCCTTCTTGGAGAAAAACATAATTTCAACATGATGGTCTTTAAGAAATATCCAAATTGCTGAATGCAAAGAGTCCTCTACAAGGAGTGCGTGCAACTCTTTGCATTCGGCAATTTGGATATTTCTCATGTAGATTGATGTTGAATGAAGTTCTATCGATCTTATGATGTTTGCCAAGAAATGTGTTTTAAATAAAAATAAATAATACTGCAAAAGGAAAGGAAACAAGATATCATGTGCAATCATCAATTAGGTATGTATTGTAATGTCCCATATAAAAAAAAGGAATGTAATGTATGATGACACCAGAAACCCTCAAGAACTACTTATTCTCTTTTAACTATTTGTTGAGGAATATCATTCATATCATATGTAGGGTTGTCAATTTGGTTTGGTTTGGTTAACCAAACCATTAAGTATGAAAACCCAAAACCAAAACCATTAAAGTCCTTATTGGTTTTCGGTTGCCAAAAACTAATATGGGCTTTAATGGTTTTGGTTTGAATAACCAAAACACCAATATCTCATTTTTATTGAATAAACGTCATAATAATAATAATGTAAATGACCATTACAAATTATTGGTTGGCATGCGTGTCAAAAGAAACAAAAAAAAATTGTTGATAAATAATTTGATTCTTGTTGGTTTCTTAATATTTTTTATTGGTTTTTCAGTTTTAACCAAACCAAAACCATGCTTATTGGTTTAAAACCAAAAAACTGAAACCATTAACTTTCCAATTGGTTTGGTTTCGGTTAAAACCAAAAAAC